GCAACCAAAGAATAAAATTAAAATTTTACTAAAACTAGAAACGTAGAAAACTGAATCCTTAAGAACAAATGTAAATCAAACTGATCATTTAGTAATGATAAGATAGGCGATTTTCTAAACCTTTCCAGTCTGTTTCTTCATCTGTAAATTGTAGATAACTGTTTCTACTTTCTGGGATTGTTAGAAGAATTAAATGAGATAATATTATGAGGATGTACTTAACATGATTCCTGGCTAATAAGCCCTCAAAATCTTATGGGCTAAAATCCTGGCTAGCAATGCTACATCAAGAAATCATCTCTCCTAATTTTATCACTTTAGGAATAGAGAGAAATATGACTTAAAACATAATGTAGCCTGACAAAACTCAATTCATCAGAGGTTATGTCAAAATAAAATTACACACAAAACAATACCTAAAAATCACTTTTTTGACTTAACTTACTTGGGCAAACATTCTGAGCACATAAAATACCCTTTAAAATTACAATGATGGCCTTAAGAGACATGGTTTTTTAAACTGCTTTTAAATCAACCATAAACACCAAAATTCCACTCTAGTAATTTTTTTAAATACAATTTTTTTTAAAAAATCAAACATCACAGATGACATTACCTATTTTTTTACTACCAATATAGTAAATTTACTTACAGTCCTTTGTAGGGGCATATGTAAATAAAATCAGTCATTCAAACACCAAATACATACATAGAAGGTCGGGATTTCTAATGTAAAGTATTATTTTCATACTAGGAAAACACAGCCAAGAAACAGGTATCATTTCTCTAAAAAAAAGAGGGAAAAGCATCTTGAACTCAGATAATTGAAAAAGTCACAAATAGTGTCAGCACTAAGCAATTAACTAGCTTCAAGAGCAGCACTTACACATTTCTTAAAGCAACATAATCTAATAAAAAACTTGCATCAGGGAATCCCTTATTCTCCCACTGATTTAGTATAAGCATTTCATTAAAAAATGGAAATCATGATAGTCACTTCTCTCACAGGGATATGAGAATGTTTTATAAATGGACTCAGGTCACCTTGAAAAAGGACCAATTTTAAAATTTAAGGAATTATTATAAATGACAACTGCTACAAACAGGGAAAACTCTGCTTAAAAAGCACAATTTAAAATAATTTTAAAGGCTATATAAGACCATAAATTACCACCAAAGGCAACTTAGTATGCACGGAATATTAAAATAAGCATCTAAAACTAAATAGTTAATTATCAGGCTTCTAAAAAGATTCCTAGTCAGTCATTTCCTATTCATTTTATGGCAAATAAATGTGATAAACAGTATTAAAGTTATTAAAGTTACATTTTTTCTAAAAGGAATTTGTATTTACCTCAGACATCCTAATCACTTCACATAAAACTGAAATCTTAATTTGAAATTATAGAATTACTTACAAATTATACTTTTCCTAATAAGCAATAGGAAGGAAAGTTAATGAAATTATATAAAACTCAAACTATTAGTTTTTATTTACTCTTATAGTAATAATCCATCTTATTTTGAGAAAGTAAAAATACCATGGTAGGGTACATCAAAAATCAACAGATATACTAGTGCATCTGATCTCAGAAGAAAAAAAAAAAAAAAATCAACAGATAGGTTCAAATATTTGTTTCTATGACACCTTGATGATGGATTGGTGCTAAAAAATTAAATATGAAATTAGTTTAGGAAGCTATAGAAACTACATGTTTGAGTTGGGTAGTCTGGCTCCAAATAAAGAAAATTTCATGTTTGAATTGGTATAGTTTTGCTCATAATATTTTTGAAATTTAATAATGATCACTGTGCAGAACCCAAACTAAATTTACTACCATAGTAAAAACTTTCACTTTTCATCCCTAAAGAGACTCTCAAATAGACTTTCTTTCTTCAATTACTGTGCAACCTTTTTCTTCTTAAGGGCAGACAGTATTAAAATGATCCCTAGCACAGGTTCAAAAATGCTCTCAAATAACTTCAGTAAACAAACTGGTAAATGGTTTTAAAAAGGATGTATCCTAAATACACTGAAAATAATTCAGTTCTCAAAAGACTGAAAATAATTAAGTATTTAATGCTCAACTTTGACATACTAGTATTTCATTATTTACTTTAAATCTGTTTTCAGGTAATATAAGTTATTGGTTACTATAGTGTCAAGAGAAATAATAAACCACATTGTTTAAATTTCCTTTAGGTATATTAGAAAATATTTCTCCAAATAACATTATCTATAAATATAAGATTACTGGAATACGTATGGTTGTCTCCTTTCACTGATTTTTTTTTTTAATGGAAAAAGATTAGGCACTGGTGAATATCCCAACCAATACAGGAGAAATAGAACAGGCTATATAATCTTTCGGGAAGCAAATTATTTTCTCCAACTAAGTTATCAAAAATTTAAAGTTGACATTTAGGTTTTATTTGAGTTTTACACAATGTTTTCTCCTTTTAAAAACCTATGTCATTGGTTTGGACCAAACAAAAAATATTTTCAAATCTACTTTAAGGAAATGTTTATGCTAGCTTAATGAAAGCTATCAACACAACCTATATTACTTACAAATTACTAAATATGTAGATTTGGGAAAATAAGCTGAGAAGAACTAATTCACTGTAATTTAATTCCAGAGTCTCCAGAAAAAAAATCAATCACATAAACTGATATCTAACACTTTGATTCAAACATATGCAGAAGGCTCTCTGAAACTCTAAAAATAAGTTGCTTCTGCTGATGAAAACTAAGCAAGAACTCTTTTTTCCATTATCTAAATTACGTTCATCACCTGACATTCGTCTCAGTATTTTAATTAAATAAAAGTTGTAAAGACAATCATAGGAACGTATGAGGGCCTTTTAAACATTTATAATGAAGCCCTTACCCACCCTCCCCAAAATCAAACCCTCTGCTTTCTTAAGATGTTAAATGTTCCTCCCTACTATATTCTCTCCTTGGCATGTCCCCCACTTGCACACCCCCCACCCGCTGTAGGCCTGAGGCCCCGTAGCAAACAGTGTCTAACAGGAGCAGGCAGCACAAAGACAGGAATGGGAGATTAGTGGGAGGGAGGGAGGCCGGGATTGGGGCTCAGCAGGAGCTTCAGGCTTTTTAAAATTCAAACTGCTCCCTGACCAATACAAATCACGGACACGCTACTGACTACTACACGGATTTATAGCATTAAAAACATGCCTAGTACGTGACAGCTATATTAACTTCACTCTTTTTAAAATTTATCCGTACGTTAACAGGAAATGTGGAACAATTTATTGTAAGTAGGATGCTAAACTCAAAAATAACCTCCACAAAAGTAACTTATTCTACAGTGACAATAATTTAATAAGACAAAATTTGAACCAATGTAACCACCCAGTAGTAAAACAAGGGACTTCGTTAAACAGTGTTGCTTCATTTTAACCAATGAAAGTTTTCCTTCAGTGAATATGAAACAAAGTATCAAAATAGTGTAACCCAGGTACATTTATTTTTCTATGCAATTTTCATGACTGAGGACTTTTAAATTGGTGTTTCCCCCTCATACCAACCTACATTACCAACGCCTTCATAAACAAGCTCTAAACACTTAACTTACTCGTGAACTAGAACTTGTTAAGATAGAACTGATATTTTTCTCCAGCATTTACAGATACATTTGACCTATTAAAATGACACCTCTCTCATTACACATTCAAACATCATGGCACAAACAGCCAATGACAATCCTGGGACCTCAAAAAGATCTGCCCTGACATGAAAGGATGGCACCTTCTACATTTTTTTTTAACCTCCCAAAGATTTTAAGTATAACTTAATTTCTATTTTTTTTAAACAAATTGGTTTTACCTGTATTTCAGCACAATTCTCAGAACATTTAAAATTCTTTGTATGCTCATACACGTTTCGGTCAGGAAGTACCTGAGTGTTTTACGTATAGTCGTTACAAATTGCCCTTATATAACGCATACAAATATAAAGTGGCACAGTAAACCTGTCAAGTAGTTTATACTTGTCTTTGAATAAAAAGTCCATGTGCAAGACACACATTGTCAGACAACAAGATAAAAGCTGGAGGGGGGGTGCAGTGTCTACCACAGTATGGTTTTCTATATTAAATATTCATATGAACGATTTAATTCTTCAAAAAGAAACTGAGTCTTTATTAACTTTCCAACGTCCAAACAAGTTTTACAAAGAGAAAGAATTACCACTGGATCCGTGTCTGAGTATTTACATTTGTCTCACTAACTGAAACTACTTCCTCCCTTCATGGGGTCACAGGGGGAAGAAGGGGGGTTGTTTGTTTCACTGGGACGTTCCCCACTACCGGACCGGGAAAGTTGTAAATATGGGGACGATCAGGGCACATTTGCTGTTAGTTGTATTGTTTCCGCCTCCTCACTAGCTACGGCTCCTCTCCCGGGCGAGGCCTGTCACCGACCAGCAGTCGCTCCGCTCAGCCTGGAGCTCTCCTAATCCCCGAGCTCAAGTAGATTCCGCTGGCCCGCGGCCTGCACTCTCCGCCGGGCCTACGCCTCCCCGGCCGCCCGGCAGGAGCCCAGTCCCCGCCACCGGAGCCAGCCGGGAAAGGGTACAAAACCACCGCCACCCAGGGTGGCTGCCACCAGAGAGGAGCGAACTCTAGACTCGCCCGTGGAAGAGACCTGGGGCCGCTAAGGAAACGGCGGGGAGGGGAGTGAGGAGGAGAGACGCTGAGGACCTGGCGCCGCCGCCGCCGCCGCCGCCGAAATAAAGAGCAGGAATTTACCTGGGCGAATTGGCGTCTGAATCCAAGCGGAGGCCGAGGCCGCTGTGGCGAGAGACTATAATCCGGGCCGGGAGGGGGGGTGGCTACAGCTCCTCTTCCGTCTCCTCAGTGCGGGGAACATGTAGAGCCGGGGGGAGACCAGCCAAGAAGACAAATCGCTGCTTCTTCTTCCTCCTCCTCCTCCTTCTCCCACATAGAAACACTCACAAACACCCGACCAGGGGCCTGAGCTACCGGGGGTGCATCACCGCGGGCCCGGGAACCAATCCTCCTGTCGGCGGGGGCGTCCCTCCCTGCGGCTTGGTGGTGTCGGGTGAGTCGGTACCGACGGAGGGAGGGGGGGGAGGGCGGGGGGAAGAAGCCCTGTGTGTCTCTCTCTCTCGTTCCGTCTCTCCCTCTCAGAACAAAATGCCGACCGGAAGTGCAGCTGCAGGAATGACTCCCTCCGCCGGCGCCAAACACTAACAACCACCCCCTCTTCCCCACTCCACTTCCGCCACCGCCGCAGCCGCCGCCGCCGCCACTTGGGCTAGCGTCCTCGGCTGCGCCGCGCCTCGCCAGAGCCCGGCCGGGGCCAGCAGCCAGGCTGCGGCGGATCTCCTCTACGCCCTTCTCTTCCTCAGCGCTGCTGTGGATGTTGGCTGTATGTTGATCCTGCAGAGCGGCGTTTGCGCTGCGGCACGGGCGGGCCGGTCCTCCTCGGTCTTTATTTTTCTGGAGGCCCGCAGGAGCGGGGCCCCAGTTCGGTGCTGGTGGTCGTAGGGGCTGCTGAGGCCCGGATGGGCTCCGAGGCCGTGGACGACGGCGGCTGGAGGCCGGGCTCGCTGTCCCGGCTCGGCATTAGCTTTAAGGAGCCGAGCTCCTGGCGGCTGCGTAGAGGACGCCCGCGATTCGACGGCGATGGTGCATTTTTTAAATGGTGTCCCTGCAGCCGGGTGGATGGATATATCATACGCTTTCTCGCCTTTTGAGAGGCCGGACTTTACGCCCGTCTGTGTGTTATTTCTGCGGAGTAAACGCAGCTCTTGGAGGTGAAGAAGGCTGCCAGCTGGATTGAATTGGAACCATGTTTGTTATGCATTTCTTTCTGGAGATACGCGGTCTCTGCTGATCTTGCTTTTTTTTGGCGGTGGTTTTGGTTCTTCCCTAACAGTCGGATCAAGGCCTGTAGGCGACGCTGTGCGAGCGAGGAGCTGGCCGGCGGCAGACCCGGCTCCCGGCTCCCGGCTCCCGGCTCCGGGCTCCGGGCTCCGGGCTCCCTCTAGGTGTGGGTGGAGCCGAGCGCGCGGGGAGAGCCGCCGGCCCGGCTCCGGCCACTGGCGGACTGTGGGAGACTGCGGGCCTGGAGCTGGCAGATTTCACACATCGTTTTCCTCTTCATATTTGAAACACTGAGGCACTGGACAAAGCTGGAGTACAAAAATTGTGATTATACTTACAGTACCAAGCTTGTAGTCTCTTATTGTAAAACAAGAAGTAACTTCATCGTTCCACAGTTCTCTATTAAATTTGTGTAAATTAAAAGTGGGCTATTCTTCAGGTAAAAAAATGCAGTAGGTAAGCGGATTTTACTCAAATGGGACGAAATTTGTGTTATATTTTAATGAGTTAAGTTAACGTTAATTGTATATCTGAATACGTACCAATGCGCTAAAAGTGGGGAAACTTGACTAAAGGTTATTCCTTTTGCCTCAAAAATCACTCAGGGGACCGAGGTCTTGTCACATTCCTTTGCGCTAGACCCTGCAATGTTTTCCTACCTCCAGGGGAGTAAAAGCCGAAGCCTTGAACGTGGCCTTAGGGCCCTACGCGCGATGAGGGGCTATGAGGAAGGACCTGCCCTGCCATCCTCTCAAATAGGACTGTGTCGTCGCAGTTCCTTATGCCAGGCTCTTTCCGCAACCCTTCACCGTCAGGGTTTTGGTTAAGTGTCACCTCGGTGCTTCTGCGGCCATTTTTTAAATGGCAAGTTCCCTGGCCCCCTTCTCATTTTATCTTTCGGACTGTCTACATATCTTACTTGTTTATATTACCTCTTTCCCCAGTGGAATGAATGTAAGCTCCAGGAGGACAAGAGGTTTTGTTTTTCTTCACTGGTATTATGTCCAGCGCCTAGAATAATGCCACACAGTAGGTACTTAATATTTGGTTAATGAATGACGATTATAAGGGCTTTGACGCCCCCCCCCCGTTTCTGTACTCTATCTTTTAATATAAATTTATATATACTTAACATAGACTTACATGCTACAGTGAACTTTATGAGAGATTGCAAAAACTGGAAAAAAAATATTTAGGCAGAAAATGCAAGTTTATTACAGAATTCTGGAAAAAGAGATTACTTATACACATTTGAAAGCCTTCCACACCACCAGAAACCCACAAACTAGACATAATTATTTGTTTTTAGGTTTCTGTAAATGACCCTGCTCTGGGATAGTGCATTAGTGCATCATATGATCTTATCCACGTTGGGCCTCCTGAGTCTCACAAACTGCATTCTTCATACTGTCTGCCCTCTTTCTTGCAAAATACATGCTATTTTCACTAAATTAAAGTCTATAAGCATTTGGTTGGCTTAGCCCAAATCTAGCACGACTAGAAAAGTTCATTAAGCAAGTATTTACTGGGCACAAAATGTGTACCAGGCACAGTTGATTCAAATGGTGTCTGTTTCTGAGGCTAAGAGACCCCTATATAAAGGAGCACATATGGCTACTTCGGTTGTTACTCAATTATGCTGTCAAGCAAAGCAAATGCTAGTGAGATTTATTTTTAGTTTTCTTCTGAAAAGGTTCAGTGAAAGCTGAGGTCAGGCTTTGTGTGGATATTTCAATTTACCATATAGTTTGCTATTTATTTACATTTACTTTCCTTATGATAGCACTAGGTATACCAATAAATTGAACATGATTTTTGAAAACTGTAAAACAAATGTGAGAAATTTTATTTCCTAGTGCCTGGAAAAGTAGGTCCTAGTCCTAGTGCCTGGAAAAGTAGGCCTTTTAAAGTAAATATACCTGTAAACTAGAAGCTATGCAGTAAGGCTTAGGCTGTGATATTATTACAGATATTTATATTTCATGTACTGAATTTTTGGCCAAGTAAAGAAAGTCTTGATAGGTATTTTATAACCATTAATACAGTTAATTAAACATTATTTAGTAAATCCAAGTAATTACAGTTTTCCCATTAATTTTAAGAACAGTTTTAAGTAATACAGATGGTTCAGAATGTGTTTTTCACTCAGTTTCAAAATAACCAATATTTCAATTTGCTTATGGATGCACAATTATCTTCCTGTATACTTTCTTAATTAAATGTTACTGTTAAACTAGTAATTTTGCATGTTCCCGTAACTTCATCTGATACAGTCAATCTATGGTGGAAAGTCTTGGCATTATTGTAGCATTTAATTTAAAATTTTAATTTTAATAATTTTTAGTTTCTTCCCTCACTTAAATATTTATTGAGGACTTACTAGGTGCAAATTAGTTTTATGCTAGGTACCTCATACACAGTAATGAATGAAAACAGACAAGGTCATTGCCTTTGAGGGCTTTAACTTGTACCAACTTGTTTATACCAATTTTTTTCCAGATTCTAGAATTAAAGAAATTGTTTCAATGCATATCAGAATATTTCTCCATTAAATCATTTAGTGTTTTGCTTGCCTAAATTCAAGTATCCAAGTTGAGATCTTATATAGAATCTGTTAGTCTATATTAGTGTTTTCTTGATTTCATTGTCTTGCTTTTTTGTTTTTTGCTTAATAATTATTTTCCCCAACACCATCTATTTGTTTTGCTCTTACATTTTAAAATCTTTTATGTCCAAAATCAGTTGATTTATGGTGTTCTTATGTTTCATTGTTGTGTCCTTGACTTATCAATTTTAGTTTGGAGGATAGTCCAATAAATCTGACCTAATATTGCCTCCTTCCTGTAAGGACTGAGTTGCATGACTCAGTTTTATTTGCCAGGGATATCCCTGGATATTCCCGTATGTATTCTTGATCAATGAACTGCAGAAGATTTAATTTTAAATTTTAAATGGCTTTTAAGTAATAACTATATTTAATGTCATTATCAGAAATTGGTACAACCGAAAAATTATGAATTATTTTTATTGAAGAATATTTCTCTTTATGCCTATTTATGCCCTTTATGCCTATTTATGCCTTTGTTAGTCATAAAATTGTCTCTTACAGGAACAAATTTTTTAAAGGCAGGAAAAAAGAAGTAAAAGACAGGTAGTATATGTATGTTCTGTAGATTATTTCAGGCTGAACCAAAATTATTTCACATTTAGGATAATTAAATTACTTTTAGAATAACTTAAGAAACTTTGATGAAGAGTTAATTAAGGATGTTGATTTTGAGAGCAGAGCTACAAAATTATCAGATGACTTAACACTATATGTTCCTATTTCAAGTTTCAAAGTAAATACCTTAATCAAATTTGTGATAGTATATATGAAGTTCATTCAATGTATTTTATACATTTTTGTTAAGATTATAAAAATGAGTAATTCATTTCTCATGGATGCCTTTATTCATTTTGGCCTGTTCTGGTCTTTCTAGGACAAGCTTTGTCCTTTCATTAATCCTTCTCACTTCTAATTAAGAATTTTCTCTAAATTTGTAGATTTTATTATGCATGCCATTCATTTATAATCCTATGACTTTACTATATTGTTTATGTTTTTATGTCTATGCCTTATGTTCCTAAATCTAAGTGACCACTTACGTGTTATACTACAAGTTACACTGTGCAGTGAATAGGGAAGGGCCCTCAAAAAATGCATTTCTGAAATAGGATTTCAATATAAAGTTATTTAAGATCATAAATCTTCATGAAAGTCTAATCTTCCCGAAACTTACACATATTCTGGATTTGAACCAGAGAGTTAAAGTATGCAAGTATTTTAATAGTGAACTAATCTAGAAAAACACTGGTTACAAAATGATTTTATTTGAAGGAAGGAAGACTATGAAGGAAGACTACAAAATCTATTACAAACTTAAAACATCTAAAATAGGTATGAAGGGAGGCTTATGATTCTCATTTTAACTGTTCTCTTGAGTAGGTTAACTTGTAGTCTGCATCTGCTCTAGACCAGTGTTTTAAACTGTGGGTCATGGTGCCATTATGGGTCATGAAATTAATTTATTGGGTTGTGACAAGCATTTTTTATTTAAAAGAATAGAAAATCTAAGAGTACATCACATAAAGTAAAGGTATGTGATTTTAAATAAACATTTGCTTACATGTGTATGTATGATGTGCTGGGTTGCCTTGTAAAATATATAACTGAGGGGTTACAGGCAAAAGTTTTTTTGTTTGTTTGTTTTAAAGCTACCAATTCAGGTTTTCCTTTTCTTCCTCCTTAGAAAATGGAAAAAAAGGATTATTTGGAAATTCTGATTACCTACAAAATAATGAAGAACTTTAGAGGAAACACTAGGATTTTAGAAGAGGTTTGATACTGGTTTCAGAAAGGTGATCTGAAGATAAACAGTAGGAAATTAGTATTTTATCGTCAGAAATGTCAAATATGGTTAAAGTTGTGAGGAGGAATTATTTTCCTATTGGACCTACATTGGGTATATTTAGATCTTTGACTATTGGTCTGTCACAGCACATTTTCTAATCTAAAGTATCTAGTGGAGCATAATAGTAAATGTGATGCAAAGTACATGTTTCTATTTCTTCCCCCCTTCCCTTCAATCTTAAAACAAATGTTTATTAATCAGTTGTAGGAGAGCAAAGCAAATTGCCATCTTTCTCAAAGTGATTACCATAGAAAAAGGTATTGCTAGAGAATGATAGAAACTCCTCTACTCCCTCCAAAAAATAACAAACTTTAAATAAGTTTTTTCTCTCTAGCCAAATTCAATAATAATTTCTTAAATAGTTAACTCTCATTTGTCACCCAACTCATCCTATATATTTAAGTCAGTACTTAAATTTTTATACAGTATTTAAAAGGGGGAAACTTAGGAAGGAGAGAATTGTATATAGCATTTGAAAGGGAGTCATTATATCATACAAGTGGAATGAAAAGTAATCAAAAAGAAGATAAGGATTATGTTATATTGAAAAATTTTAATAAAATTTAAACATTTTATTACCATTTCACCTTATTTGCCATGTGTAGATTTCAGTAGTGTTGGCAAGTATGTTTTAGAACATTAATAAAAATTTTGTGTCAGATATATGATGCCAAGTCACTTTCTATTATAGATTAGTAAGGCCTAGGTGGGTTAAAATCTTAGCTAAACACAAAATTTACTAGAGAATTAACATAGAATCTCTAACTCAGTTATTGAACCAAAATGTATTCACCTGAAATATTTCACCATTGCAATACATACTATATTGAACTAAGAAAAGAACCAACAGAGGGAGCTAATTCAGTCTTGAAAGGTAGGAGTATAAAAGACTTCATGACTTCCTGTTTTGAATTTAACTGTGTGACAGCTGTTCTCTTTGAGTTTAGTTTACCAAAAAGCCCAGCAAAAGGAGAGAAAGGCTACCAATGTATCAATTTTGAGTGGGATGATAATTGTAATTCAAAATTACCTTACAGAAAGTAAATTAAAGGAAAATTTTATAGTTCTGTTTAAATTCAGGAAACCCCAGGGATGAGTGGCATAAAAGAGAATTCTTTTAAAACCGGATGTTAAAATTGAGTAAGTACAAAATGTAAATGTCGAGACATTGATTTTCTTTCTACAGTGGTGGTGAAACAGGATCAGAAGCAATGCTAAACTTAACCATTTAGCAAAGGAAATTAAAGTGGAATTTTTTTTCTTTTTTTTAGGAAATGGAGAGGATATCAAGTGGAAATATAAAAGTGGAAATGTCTCAGTTTTATAATCTAAGATGGAAAACCGTAGAAAATAGTAACCTTAGAGTCATGATGTAGCCAGATGTAACAGTGAACATTGCTTAGTAATTTCATTTTTATTTAAAGCTGAAATTAGCTTCCAAATAGGCACATTTTACAATTATGAAGTTGGTGCAATAAGTAGATCTTAAATTTATATGTATTTTAAGAAACAAGGGATAAAGTGTAATAGAAAATTATTACAGTGAAGTAATTAAAAGAATGAGACTATTTTTCAGTTTAAAAATAGAGAATAGTATTGTTTCCTCTACTGTTTATGAACACAACAAAGCAATACTCATTTTGTGAGAGATGCCTGGAGTAACAGTAGCTAAATGATAACTGACAGTTTATTTAATATCATATGCAAACTTCAACATGCCTGATAGAATGGGTGCATATTGAATGAATAGATACGATCTATTAACTATTTGAAGTAAAACTGTAAGAATTGGGTGTTAGCTAACAGCATCAAAATAAAAAATTTAAAGGCCCAAACATCTTTAGTTAAGCAATAAACTGAATTATGCTAGTCTAGCCTATTATTCATTGCAGTTTGTGGAAACATACTGCCTAAAGCATAGAAGGACAATTGGTTGAGGCAAGTTTTAGCAATATGTACATTTGCTCATGTGTTTATTCAGACCAAAAATAGTATATTTGAGTACTTACGTCTCCATAAGACATGGAGCATGTCTTCATTTTAAACCAGACAAAATTCTCAAATCGTATTGAAAGATTTAATTTCATTGATATGTGAACATTCATACAAATTCAATATGCAACTATAACTCCAAGAAAATGGTACTTTGAAGCAAATCATTTAATATTCAGTGCAAAAGGTAGACTAAACTTCTTGAAGGGTTAGTCCTTTTATAATGCTATATTATATGTTGACATTATTTTGTATATTGGCATCTATTCATGTCACTTCATCATGGCAATGATATCCAAGATATATAGTTCATCTGATATCAGTCCTAGAGACATTTTAATGCCAAGAAAAGCAATGTAACCAGTATTACTACTTCTAATTATGTTCTTCCTTTACACATGAGTTGTGATGAATATGGGCTATTAGAATTGTATAAACAGCCTGACCTTTTAAATTATATTTTAAATTTGTTAATGTTTCCACTCATGGAAAAATAGCTGTAACTTTTTAAAAATTATATTAATAAAGTAGCAACAGCTTTACCATGAACTGTTTCCTAATTGTTAAGCATAATAATGGGTTAACTCATATCAAAGTCCAGTAAAAACTATTAACTTTGCCACCAAAGTCAACATCTCAGAATCTAACATATGTAGTATAGGTATTTCTGTTTTATCTAGTTTTTATTTAATAATGTAAGATTCAGGCTATAACAAACTCAAAACCAAACAAAGGCTTGGAAAGAAAATAGTCGAAAAAAAGAAAAGAAAGAGAAACGGAAAAAAGAAAGAAAATAACTCATACCTTGTCTTATTCCCAAGTAAGGAGTGGTGACCATTTAGGACAGGCATCAAAAAGTGACTTAGAACAAAATCAGGAAGTTTGAGTAAAGAATTTTTCTCTTCCTAAAAAATTAAATATAAAAGTCAGGAATTTATACCCACACATGAATACTGTTTTTAACATAGTTCTTTAGGCATTTGAAATATTTTCTTTTTGAGAAACAGCATCACAACCCAAATTTCTTTAGTAGTCATGTTTCTGATTTATCAGCTTATTTCTGTTTTACACTACTGAATTCTGTACTGCTTCTAAAGCACCTCTCTAATGTAGCTTTCTCAGTATTGCCTTCTTCCTAATACTAACATTAAGATTCGCTAGCTATCTCCAATACATTCTGATGATTCCTTATGATCATATCTAAGCAAACTATGTAACTTTTGTTTGATATAAGGGGAAATAGCTTACATTATGAATTTAGAAGTGATTTTACTAGTACTTGACAATACTTTATATAAGCAAAAGTATTTTTAATTAAAGAACTTATTGCACATCTTATAGGCTTTCTGCAGCAAATTTTGAATGTCCATTTCAGCTAGAAGCTTAGAAATGATAATACCTTAGGTTTAATCTTGTGTTTACATTAAACCTTTTGGGTTTTAATTCTACCTACAATATTGCTGTAAAAACATAGTTGTGACATCTGGCTCTTTAAGAGGTACTCACCAGAAAACTGGTTTGAAAACTATTTTGACTACGATGTAACTATTTATTCAATATGATAAGAGGTAAGTATGCCTCTGAATAGAAGTAAGCCTCTAATTCTCTATATTTTTAGAAATATTATTGTATTCTAAGAATATCAGAAGAATATGTGCTGCTTAAAGAAATTTTGAGTTTGCATTTCCAAGGTGGCAGATAAGAATGAACAACATAAGAATGTACAACATTCTTATCACTATAAACTATAGATTATTCATTCAACCCAGCACCTTTGTACTAGAAACAGTGAATATACAATGAATAACTTGGTCTCTTTCCTCGTATGGCTCACAGCCCAAAAGACTAGCTCAAATATATTTAAAACAGTGAGATAAGTAAGTGACAATAAATTGTATCACAAGTGCTATGAAAATACCAAAGATAACCTAAAAGTTTTGAAAAAAGCTTCATAGGAGAGGTGAATGTTGAACATTAGTGAAAGATAAATAATTTTCCAAGTAGATAAGAGGGTGATAGAAAGGAAATAAGCCATTCTAAAGAGGGAGGAACATATATATGTACATGAGAAAGTTCCTTATATTTCAAAATCTGAAAATTGGTTTGGATAGAATACACATTAGGTAAGGAGGCTGGGATCTGGGTACTGCAGTCTAAAAAGAGTTTGGATATTACCCAACATTCAACAGGTAAATATGAAAGAATTTTCCATACAGGAAATAAAATTTTCATTTTAGAATAATGCTACAATTAACGTTAAAAACAAGTAACTATTACCAAAAAAAGGGACAATACTTAATGAAAATGGTGAATCTGGAAATTTCATATAATTTAGAAATATGTATCCAGCTGTAAAAATGTACTCTGACCTAGTATTTTCTCATCTGGGTTTTTGATGTGGCTATATTGCTTTTGTAATTTCAATGAAAACAGAAAGAAGTTTAGGCACCTGAATGAAAAAAGGGTAGGAATATGAGAGAGGCTGGAGAAAGGTGAATCAATGAGAAAGCTAATTTAATAGGTCAAGTGAGATATGAGGGCTTGGCTGTGGGAGCAGGGCTGTAGAGGAGGGGGTAGATTTGAAAGATAAAGTAGAATTAAGGACTTGCTGAACCAGTGGATATATAAAGTAAGAGAAAGTGGGGGCACTGGGGATGGAGTCAATTATTACTGACAATAGGCTTAGTTCTCTAGATGGGATACTGGTGCCATTGAACGAGATAGAGATACAGGTGACAATTTAGGCTTACAGCAGAAAGGAATAAGAATAAATTTGGTTTTAGGTAAGTTAAATTTGAGATGCCTGTTAAACTCTCATTTTAATGACGTCTGGTTAGGCAGTTGGAAATACGTGTGAATACTCAGGAAACAGCTAGATTACACAGATAAGAGTCCTCTTCGTGTAGGTAATAGTGGAAACCACAAAGTAGAACCCAGGGAAAGTTAAAATGAGAAGCAGCCAAGGAATTATAAGGACCACTAAGAAAAAAGTAAGCTACCAAAGTTTGCTATGATTTAATAATCTATCACCTTCCCCCAAAATATTTGAGAAGAATCCTTTTATTTATAAGACATATTTAGTCAAATATAACATTCTGGGCCCTAAAATCATTAACCTATAAAATCTTATATTATTTAATCCTGGAAGTTATTTAATTACTATGTCCTTCTTTTGATTTTACTTAAAAATGGGAGACTAGGAAAACAGAAGTTAATTTCCTAAGAGAGAAAGAAAAAAGGTTGATAACTTATTTTATTTTTTAGCAGCATATTCTTCTTAACATTAAATAATACTTGCAACGGAGATCTAGGAAGTTTAGTTACAGTTTCCAAACTTTCCAAGAAGTTTCTGTTCTAGGTGCCAATCCAATGCACACTTCTCCCTGACTATTCTTGCTGCTTCACTTATACCACTCCTTCTTGATCTGTTTCTCTTACTACCAATCCTCTCATAATATCTATCTAGCCACCATTGGTCTCCACTGTCCCCACAGATTTTGGTTTCTTCAAATCAAGAGCAATATCATAGTCTTGATTGTTCATGTCACCTAGTGGTAAGAGAGACACTAGCATGACAGGGTGGAAGTGAAGATTATACCATATTTCAGAGGTTTTCATGTTTTTCAGTAATGAATCACAACAATCAGAAATCCCTATGTCTGTGGGCCACATATTTAAATCTTGAGAATAATAGTCTTAGCTATTCAAATATATTTAGTTTTGTACTATTACAATAAAGCAGTGTCCAAATAGTTTAATCAGCTTTTTTCATATAAAGGTGCAAACTTATGGGCCAAGTACTAGTCTTCAGTTAATCTTGATGTCAGTGAGAATACTGGTAGATAATAGGTCAAATTCTGCACAAAACCGAGGGCTGTTCAACAATTGGTGCTGGGACAACTGGATAACCACATGCAAAAGACTAGGACCCTTACCTCACACCATTTTGCAAAAATTAACACAAAATGGAACAATGACATAAATATAAGAGCAAAAACTAGAAAATATTCAGAAAAAATGGGATAAATTTTTATCATCTTGGATTTGACAAACATTTCTCAGATCAAAAGCACCAGCCACCAAAACAAACCATAAATCAGACATCATCAAAAACTAAAAATTTGGGGCCAGGCGTGGTAGCTCACGCCTGTAATCCAAGCACTCTGGGAGGCCGAAGCAGGTGGATCATTTGAGCTCAGGAGTTCAAGACCAGCCTGAGCAAGAGCAAGACCCTGTCTCTACTAAAAAAAAAAAATAGAAATTATCTGGACAACTAAAAGTATATTTGTAAAAAATTAGCCGGGCATGGCGGTGCATGCCTGTACTCCCAGCAACTTGGAAGGCTGAGACAGAAGGATTGCTTGAGCCCAGGAGTTTGAGGTTGCTGTGAGCTAGGCTGATGCCACAGCACTCTAGCCCAGGCAACAGAGTGAGACTCTGTCTCAAAAAAACAAACAAACTTTTGTGCTTCAAAGGTCACCATCAATAAATAGAGTAAAAAACAACCCACAGAATATGAAAAAATATGAAATATTTGCAAATCATATCTGATAAGGAATCTGCAACTAGAACATATAAGTTCTTTAAACTTTTAAACTCTAAAATAACCCAATTTAAAAATGGGCAAAGAATCTGAATACATATTTCTCCAAAAAGACATACAAGTGGCCAATAAGCACATCAAAAGGTGCTTGATAATCCTTAGTAGGAAAAAGCAAATGAAAACCACGAGATATCACTTCATTCTCACTACAATAGCTAGAACGAAAAGGTCAAATAATTATTGGCAAAGATGTGGAAAAACTACAACCTTCATACAGTGCTGACAGGACTGTAAAATGGTGCAGCCACTTTGAAAATAGTCTGGCAGTTGCTCAAATGATTAAACATCTTATTACCACATGACCCAGCAATTCTCTTCCTAGGTATATACCAAAGAGAAACAAAAACATACGTCCACACAGAATCTTGTACACATTTGTTTATAGCAACATTATTCAGAATCTTCAAAAGGTGGAAACAACCCAAATGTCCATCAACTGACAAATGCATAAACAATATGCGGTATGTCCATACAGTCTTATATTATTTGGCCATAAAAAGGAATAAAGAAAGTACTGATACATGCTGTGACATAGTGGATCCTGAAATCATTATGTCAAATGAAAGCCAGTCACAAAAGACCGTATGCTACATTGCTCCATTGAAATGAATGGAATAAGGAAATCTCTACAGACAGAAAGCAAATTAGTGGTCATTTAAAGCTGGGGTGAGAACATGGGTGGATTGGGGGGGATAGTTAAAGAGTACAGAGTTTCTTTTTGAGGTGATGAAAATGTTTTAAAATTGTAGTGATGATTGCACATATCTGTGAATATACTAAAAACCACTAACCTGTATACTTTAAATGGGTGAATTGTATGGTATATGAATTCTATCTCAAAGCTGTTTACAACAACAAAAAAAGCAGGGATTGTATATAGACAGGGCCCATCTCAATTCCCACTCCAGGTTTACATTACTGTAAATACTTAGAATATTTACATTAATATTCTAAACATTTGCATTACTGAAAGTGGCCCTTAGATTTGATTTCCACAGTTTCAGGAAAGAGAATATGTATTAACAGAGTTGGAAGTCTCAAATATTGTAAGAATTTGGCCACAGAGTGAGAAATTTAAGGATAGTAATATGTAATGTATATATTCATCTTAAAAATCCCAGAGATACTGTGGGTTCTTGGTGGGCATAGTTTGCTTTCAGTTCAATCCATTTCTCTTGAAGTAGAGCCATGGTGACAAGGCAGATGGTTAGAAAATTCAAACACATCACTCTAAAGTCAGCTGCAGAAACTTAAAGCATAATTCATGCTAATGAAAATTAGTGAATTTTGAAATTCATATTTTATTTCTACCCAAATAGCTCAGCAATTCTTCAAATTCTGAGATTCTATTTAGCACAGGACAGTTCTGATATGAGACATGAATGCATAGTTCAAGTAACATCTACCCATTCCCCATGTTCTGGTTTGAATATTAATGACTATATTCCTACACAAATTCACTAGTTCTCTTATTTTTCTCAAGATATCTGTGTATTCACTTGCTTGCAACATCAAACAGAAAATACAGTCATGTTAGCTATTTGGACTCAAAATTAGGTCCCTTTAATTACCAAAAGTTGTAGGTCTGAGGTAGTATCAGTGTAGCTCTCTTCAATAAGTTTTCAAAATCTAGCCATATTACTCCATTAAAATAAACTAGATCCATTGCACTTAGCACAATAACAACAGTAATGACAAAATACTTAGAATAATCCTAACAAGAAATATGTGAAATCTGTATGAAGAAATATATAAAACTTTATACTTAGAGCTATTAAATATTGGAAGAACAGAACTATTCTCAAATTATAGGGTTTTTTAGAAAATAAAAAATGATTCTAAACTTTATATGGAATAATAGGTTAAAATAGACACAGAGATTTTTTAGAAGAAATTATGGTGGAGATTTGTCGCTCTAAATAAAAAAAACAGTAAAGCCAAAATGATTGCAACACAATTGCCATAGAAATTTACAGATAGTTGGAAGAAACTCCAATATGTCATCAGCCAAAGAGGAGGGATAGACTATTATAACAAATGATGGTGGGAATTGGCTTTTTTTTTTTTTTAATTTTTTGTTTTGTTTTGTTTTGTTTTCTGAGACAGAGTCTCACTCTGTTGCCCTGGCTAGAGTGCCATTGCATCAGCCTAGCTCACAGCAACCTCAAACTCCTGGACTCAAGCGATCCTCTGGCCTCAGCCTCCCGAGTAGCTGGGACTACAAGTATGTGCCACCATGCCCGGCTAATTTTTTCTATATATTTTTAGTTGGCCAATTAATTTCTTTCTATTTTTAGTAGAGACAGGGTCTCGCTCTTACTCAGGCTAGTCTTGAACTCCTGAGCTCAAGCTCTCTGCCTGCCTCAGCCTCCCAGAGTGCTAGGATTACAGGTGTGAGCCACCACGCCTGGCCAGGGAATTGGCTTTTTAAAATCCAGTTTTGTTCAAGGCAGAAACTTTAACACCTCTCTTTCTCATGCCTCTTGGACCCCACCCATTCAATCAATCACCAGATCTTATTCAAAGTATCTGTCTACTTCTCTCTGTCTCCAGCAACACCAACTTAGTCATCAGTTATTATTAGCCAGAAATGGCTACCATCATTTCTCACCTATATTACTGTAATAGCTTATATACTGGGCTTCAGGCATCCACAAAGACATTTCCCCTCATCTCACAACTCTTTCTTCTGCTACAGTGATCTTTTCAAAACATAAGTTTAATCATATGAATGATCCAGCTGCTTAAAACTCTTAAATGGTTTTCATTACTCTAAAGACTAAAATTCTTAACATGTCACAAAGCTCTGCATGGTGTATTCCTGCCTACCTCGCCGACCTCATTTCACATTAATCACCTTGCAGTCCATCCTCCAGCCACTCTGGCCCTCTTTCTAATGCTTTAAACGATACCATGCTCCCTTCTGCCAAGGAACTCAAAATTCCTTTCCTTTAGGGCACTTAACTCAGTTTGTAGTTATACATTATTGGTGTGGTTATTTGATTTATGTCTGTCTTTACTCTCTAAACTGTACATTCCACTAGAGCAGGGACTATGTCTGATTTACCAGCACCTAACAGAATATGTGCTTGACAAATATTCACTGAATGAATAACTGAATAAGAGAATGAATGAAAAATACATTCTCACATTATATTCACTAAAACAAATTATAGATGAAACTCTAAATTTTAAATGTAAAAAAGAATCCATTATTTAAAATTATAGATTATTCAGATAAATTAATAGAACTCAAGATGTAAACAGACTTTTAAAAAATATAAATGTATAAATGTAGGAGGTACAAGTGCAGTTTTGTTAAATGGATATAGTGAGTAGCTGTGAAATCTGGGCTTATAGTGTAACTATCACCCAAATAGTGTACATTGTACCCATTAACTAATTTTTCATCCCTCATCCCCTTCCCACCCTCTACTGTCTCTTCCAAGTCTCTAGTGTCTCTTATTCCACTCTCTATGTTCATGTGTACACATTATTTAACTCGCACCTATTAGTGAGAACATGCAGAATTTGACTTTCTAGTCAATAGACTTTTTAAACAAGTATTTTGGAGGAACTCAGGAAAACAGTGTACTCCTTATAATATCAAAGGAATAAAAACCCAAATGTCTATGAATTGAATGTTTGTTTTTAAAAATATTTACCATGTTTTTAAGTATTTTAAATTATAGGAGAATAAGTACATATCATAGTATAAAAAAACAAAAAGATACACCATAATGCCAATTTCATTATTTAAAAATTCATTAGAAAGAAACACACCAAAATGTTATTAAATCTGAAAGATGGACTTATACGTAATTAATTTTCTCCTCATACTTTCTTTTTTAGACAAGCTTTTCATAGTTGATCAAGAACCAACCAAAAGATACATACTTTTAATGTTATTAAAGAATTACTTTGAAATATTGCTAAGTCCATACAGAACATTTCATCAAACTTTTATGGAATAGCAATTTTCCACGTGTTATACTCTATTCAGAACTTAAAAGTGATTAAAAATTATCCAGTTCATTTTATTAGCCTAATAGAATTGAGACTAAAATATAACCAAAAAATTCTTAAAGTGAAAACTAAAGAAAATCCTCAATTAAGTACAAAAATCTTAATCTAAGAGTCATTTAAAGAATACGCCATAATAATTACATTCATAACAGAATTGCAAAGATGTGAACCCATTGATATATAATACATCATATCAATCAGCAAAATTAGAAAACACATATGATCATTCCAGCAAATGCCCAAAAGGTGTTTAACATTCATCTCATATAAAATCTCTCAGGAAGAAAGACAGTGGGATGGAAAATTATTCAATAAATGGTGCTGTGAAAACTACTTACTGGATATTTGGAAAAATCTATGTAGTATCTCACTCATCACCTACCAAATCCCATTTACTTTAAAGAGTTGGAGTTAAAAATAAAGCAAGAAAAATATAGAAGAGAAAGTATAAAAAATTAAAAAGAGAAAATATGGATAAATTAAGTTATAACATTCACATATGTAGACCAAAGAATTCAGCATTTCTTGAATTAATGATTGAATATAAT